ATGCACCAATTCCTGGCTATTATATCCTTGTAGTTTTTCCCTTGAGCTTTAGTGTAAAGTGTTTTGGTTTGTTTTTAGAGTTGGATACTCACATTTATGAAATTATATTTATATCCCTTCATTATGTTACATAAAATGTGATACCATATTAACATAATTTTGCCTACACAGTTGGTTGTTGAAGGTGTTGAAGTTGAGTTTTTCAAAAAGGACAAAGTTAAGTGAAGGTTTATGGAAGAATTTTTATTGACATTATTGGGGAGGTGATGAATCTTTCTCCCTGTTTACTGCATATACTCAAATATTATCTATTTTAAAAAATTTCATATAATTATATAGAATAATTATATAATTTATTATTTTATAAACTTGCAATTTTAACGTGCCACATCAGATTTTTTTAGTTTATTTTCTCAAATATTACAATATTAAAATCATAATTCTTTATATTATTTCTACAACTGTCAAACCCCACTTCTTCCAATATTTTTCTAGTTCACTCATTATATTTTTAAAATGATTTATTGATTGGTCATAATTCATATCATTTCCTCATTTCTCTCTCATTAGCTCACCCACCCTCCCATTATTGTAACTTCCCATCATACTATTCTTATTTTTAACTTAAAAACAAGGCGATCAAGGCATAAGAAATTTAGTTACCTATGATAGGAACAAAATGATAAATAATTTTCTCTTATAAAAATAATTTAATTACATTTTAAATTTAAATTGTGCCTTAGCAGAAAAAATGTATACATAATCTTCACCTTAAATCTAATTCATGAAATTAATTTTTAATTCTAATTTAACTGTGCAATGTGTTATGAGTATATATTATTTATAATTTAAATATATTTTATAAAAATTGGTTTAGTTTTTATAAAACATATTTAAATATGTTTTATAAAAAGTAAATATGATGTTTCATTTTAACTTTGTAAATTTGTTTTAAATATGGTGATTCAAGGAGAATGAGTTAATATAAATATATTTTATAAATTTGATTTAGTTTCTAAGTTCATTCAATGTGATGTTACATCAAGATTTTTAAATAATTATTACATTTAACTCATTATTATTAATGAAAAATTAAACACCAATTACTTTAATTTAGAAGTATTTTTTTTACAATAATATAATTTTATAATTTAACTTATATCTTATTATTTATTTAAATCATTATTTATCATTTCATATCCGTGCATCGCAGGGGACACGTATTAGTTATATTAAAGGTTAAATAATCTTTCTAAAAGATACTATATGATAGGGACTAAATGCAATAGTTACTTATGAGTGATAAGTGTTTAGTTTAAGTATTTCGACAATCATTTACTCTCTCTATTAAAAAATATAACGTATTTTTAATTAAATTTCACCCTCCAAAAAGTAATTATCTATTTTTAAACTAACCTTATCTTTTTATATTTATTTTTATTAAACACCTTACAATAAATATAAAGTCATTTATCAATAGGGATATTTAAAAAAAAAGAAAATGATTACACCTCAAAAGACTAAAAATGTATTACATTTTTAAACATTCAACTCCTAAAAAAATGTGTTATATTTTTGAATGGAGGGAGTATATAATTTTGAAAAATTTTCTATTTGTCAAAGCTAGTATTTGAGTTTACGTTTTGTTTATTAATTTATGTTACCTCTTTAGCATTTCTAAGACTCAATATCTAAAACCATGCCGAGTCCTTTCAACACAGCTAAGATTACTAATTTGGTTTCATTTAATGAAGGAATCATATTGGTTAGGAGTAGGGTGTAAGAAATTATTATTACAATTCATAAATATAAAATGTTAACAACATCAATTCAATATCAGATACTCTTTTTGGTCCCTAATTCTTATAATAAGATATTTCTAACTACCTCACTGAACCAAGTAAAGATGATTAAGTCATTAATTTTATCTAAAAATATAATAAACTTTCAATTTTATTCCTATTAAAAGGAAAAAAATTTCAATGTGCATTACATTATCTCTTATAGTTAATGAGTATAAATAAAAACAATATTAAAAAATGAAATTACTATCATATCAAGTGTCTTATATTAAGGACTAAAAAATATTTTAGAAGATGCCTATAATAAAAACCTTAGTAGTATTTATATATAATAAAATATAATTTTTAGCCATTTAACTTCATCTCAATTATTGATTTAGTTATTGAATTTTGATTTGGTACAATTCATCCTTATATTTTATTGAGTCAAGAAATTATCAAAACTAAGTGGTTATGAGTAAAAAAAAATTTATAAGGATTAAATTATTTGAGTTTAAAATTGATATATTATATGAATTGAGTTGTTGTAAGTGAGATATTAGGGATTGAATGGATGATAAAAGAAAAAGTTCCAAGACCAAAAATTATAGTTTCCCCCTCTACACACACACACATATTTTTTTTTTTTTAAAAAGATTGGGGTTCTATATGTCAGCACCCTTAAATAGGCCGATTGATCTTCACATATATATATATATATTTTGAGAAAATAAAAAAATTATTAAAAAAGAAATTATAAAAAAAGGTTTATGTAATTGAGAATCAACATGGATAATTTTGACGCTTTAACTTTCTCTGGACTGTTTTGTTTTGGCATGAAAAATTCACTTGACACTTTGTGAAAATCACAACCCACAATTTAGTTGTATGTATTGTAAAGATGCAAAAACAAGTAATAGAAAATAATATAGAAGACTCATTTTAGATTTTGTGCAAAATATATAACTACAATTCAGTTGTAGATTAATGAATAAACCAAAAAAAAAAACAAGTACACGGAAAATAATGTGTGTGTAAATAAAATAAGTTTCATGCATCCTTAAAAATGACCTTCTTTCTTATTATACTAGTCTTATTAGAGGATTTAAAGGATTTGAAATCGATGAAGCCTATTTTCACCCTCCCCCTTTAGGCCTTGAGACGAAGCTAAACTTACAAGATGAGAGGTTACATGGCATGAGATGAGAGGTTACATGGCATGTTCTTTGAAATGACAAAATGACATCGATGATAATGAAATAATTATTATCATCACTATCAATAAATTATTTTTAAATTCATATTTTTTAGGAAAAATAATAGTTAGGTCTCAAAAGATTAAATTAATGACAATTAAGTTCTTCACAATTTTTTTTAAAAATGAACTATAAATAGAAATACAAAAAATTACTCCCTCTATTAAAAAATATGAAACATTTTTTGAGGGATTGAATGTTAAAAAAATGTAAGGTATTTTGAATCTTTTAATATGTAGTCATTATCTCTTTTCTAAAAATGCCCCTATTGAATATATTACTTTATATTTTTTAGGATGAAACACTTTATTAAATAGGGATAAATATGAAAAGATAGAGTTAGTTTAAAGATAAATAATTACTTTATTGGGGTGAGATTCAATTAAAAATACCTTATATTTTTAAAATAAGAGAGTATAAACAGAAATTCTTCTTATAATATAAGAGTTACATTTGATATTTGAATATTTATTTACAATTAAAACTCATATATTTGTAATTAATTATCTAAATTGATATTTTTAACTTATTATTGAAAAAAAATTGTGAGGTACTTAATTATCATCAATTCAAGATTCTAGAACCTAATTGTCATCCTCCCTATCTTTTACTCTATTAGAAGTGCAATATATTACGGGCCATGCAAACTTGAAAATTTTTAATATATAATTTTAATGTATTTTTATTGCTCATGGGTATTCTCCTTTTAGAGATAATCCTATTTGAGGTATAATCTAGCATTAAATGTGGGCATTTTTTTAGGAAGATTTGAACTTTGATTCACTATGTTGTTAAAGATTAGCCTCTTTCACTAAATTCATTATCAATTGGTTTTAATATAATTTTTTAATAGAGTGACAATTATGAGATTATTTTTATTTTTAATAATCTACACATTAAAATTAAAACAATAAATTATTAAAATATAAAAATAAAAATCATACTCCCTCTGTTAAAAAATATGAAGTATTTTTAATCGAATCTCACTTTCAATAAAACAGTTACTACTTTCAAACTAACCATATCTTTTCATATTTACCCCTATTAAATACCTTATAATAAATAAAAAGTTATTTATCAATAGGGGTATTCTGAAAAAAGGTAATGATTACACATTAAAAAATAAAAAATGCTTTATATTTATAAACATTTAATTTTTTTAAAATATGTCTTATATTTTTTAACGGAAAAAATATTAAATTTATACTATCCAATTTTGATTTGGATAGTCCCTCGCAGCTGCACATATATGCACTCCCTTCTATCCCTATTATATAACACTTTTTGAAACAATTTTTGGTTGACATTAATTACATTTTTTTAATATTATTTCTATTTAAATTCATTAAACATGAGAGATAATATAATGTAAATTTTAAAATATTTTATTTCAATAAGGATAAAATTAAAAGTTTATTTTATTTTCTGACAAGATTAATAACTTAACCACCTCTTTTTAATAGTGATGAGGTAATTGGAGGGGCCTTATAATATAATAAAGATAGGAAGGAATTCACATAGAATTTTTATTATTTTCATTAGAAAAAATGTCTGTTGTGAACTTTTGATATTAGAGAATATGTATTTTGTTCTTCTTGGCCGTTTTCAAGCTCATAAAATAAAGAATAATTATATTCAGGTCCCACAAAAAGAAATTTATTATCGAAAAGTCTCATAAATTTTATAAAATAAATTCCAAATCTTGCACATTGACAACATGACAAAGAGCATTGATAATTGGATAACAGCCATTCACAACTTGCTATTATAAAGTATCATTTTCCTTCATAAATTGTCAATGACTGCTGCCCAGGTGTCAATACGTAAGATTTGGAAATATTTTGTGAAATTCATAGGACCTCTCGGTAATAAACTTCTTTTTGTGAGATCTAAATGTAATTTTTCCTAAAAATAACTTGAATAATACGTCTGCGCAATCAAAGTTTTTTTATTAAGCGAAACAAGACTAGAAAATTGGTCCAATAAAATAGAAACAGAAGAACAAGAGAAGGAATATACTATACAGCTTACGTTCTATGACAGCCTAATTTGCTTCTCACGTTTGGAGCGTCTCGCTCATTTTTGCATCTGAATTTCTCAGTCAATGTTTACACATGAACTGCACAGCAAACCAAGACAATATTAGCCTTCCTAGGAAATATAAAAACACACCATATTTTGAAGGCCTACAGTAAAAGATAAAGCCAAACATCATTATCTTCTGGTTCATATGCACGACAACACTCCCTTGTAATCGCAGGAGAATAATGCGTGGTTAGATTCTCTTGTTATCTTCGAAAAACCAGGATTAGTTTAGCTGTCCTGGAGCACATACGGGAATATCTCTCAATTCAATGAGGTCATTTTTACTTGTGATCGGGTCTCATGTCACAGAGCAACTTACACTGCTTTCAATTTGAATCTCATGGGGTTTCCACTTCTTGTTCTTGAGCAAATTCTCTTTGCTGTTCTTCTTGCTGCACAGTCGAACAAGCTTGTCATGGCTCAAGATGATCTTAATGGCCTGAAGGCCACTTTCAATGACCCTTTTCTGAATGATAACTGGATTGGTTTTCCCTGCAATGAGACTGAAACGTCAAGATGGTTTGGGATTCAGTGTACCGATGGTCGAGTCATCGGTATAGTTCTGGAAGGTATGGGGCTAACCGGGAAAGTTGATGTCAAATCATTCTTCAGCCTTACAGAGTTGTCTATTCTGAGCTTCAAGAACAATTCCTTGAAGGGAAATGTGATGGATTTCTCCAACAATCATCAGTTGATGTACATTGACCTGTCAGGCAATGAGTTTGAAGGGTCAATACCAAGATCTCTTCTGAATCTTAGCCTCTTGGAAACGTTGTTACTGCAAGATAATAAGCTCACAGGTCCAATTCCAGAGTTCAATCAACCAAGTTTGAAGATGATCAATGTGTCAGGCAATGATCTTCATGGCAGAATCAGAATAACCCAGACTTTTCGATCATTGGGGCCTAATTCATTTTCTGGCAACCCCAGATCATGTGGTCCTCCTCTCAATTCCTTGAGCTCTAGCTTGAAATCTTCCATTCCAGGACCAGCAAATGACTCCGAAAACGATGAGGCCCAGAACCAGGATGGATCTTCAAATAAAGATAACACATCCACTATCCTAATCATTGTCAATGTGGTGCTTCTGTTTGCAATAATCTTTTTAGCTTTTCTTTACTATAAGACAGTCAAGAAGCTCAACAAAATTATGAAGCAGCAGATTCCCATTAATAAAGATGTGGCGGAGAGCACTGTTGATAAGGTCGAAATGAGAGATCGTCACAGTCCAGCAGTGATGGCAGTGGAAGAGAAGAAGGAGCTTATATTCTTTACGGATGAACCAAAGTTTCAAATGAATGAGCTCTTGAAAGCTTCTGCAGAGGCACTGGGTCAGGGAATCATGGGGAACAGTTACAAGGCGATGCTGAATGGAGGAGCTTCCATTGTGGTGAAGAGGCTGAGGGACTTGAAGCCAATGACAAGAGAGGACTATGCAAAGCAATTGCATGGAATTGCTGATCTGAAGCACCCAAATTTGTTGCCTTTGCTTGCTTACTACAATTCCAGAGATGAGAGGTTGCTGCTCTATAGATATGCTGAGAGGGGAAATCTTTTCTTCAGGCTTCACGGTAATTTCATTCTTGAATTTCTTCATTTGCAACAAATAGAAATATTCTTTCTTCCATGAGATAACAGTTCCCAGGAAGTGTGAGGATAATGATAATCATAGAATTCCATTTACAAGACGAGAGATCACCAAAACAAACTGTAGCGCTTATGAGTTCACGAACTTCAATTTTCAAAATCTAAAACTCTAAGAATCCAGCGTCAGATTCAGTAATCTGAAAGCATGTGTTCTTAGATGCATAAACTAATTGCTTCTTTTGCCTTTCCTTTCACTCGACATGCATATTATTTTACATAAAAATGGCTTAGGACCTTTGATGTGTAAAGACAATTATTCCAGTAGTTGCATAATTACAAACCAAACACTGCTCTAATACTTCTAGATGATTTAGTGCGTCACTAACCTGACTCCTTTCTATTTTGAGTATTAAAATAACAATAATTGTGATAAAATTCTAACCACCTGAATTAAGTAAACGGCAAGCATTTACTTAAATATGTCTTTTTTTTTTTGCGTGTCTTAAATTGAGTGAATACAGACTTGTTACCAATCATTCTGACTTCTGAGCATAAGCATTACCATGTTATGCATCTCAAAGCTGGATTGGACATTCATTGCAGGAAACAGAACTGGAAACCGGATTCCATTCTCATGGAGCTCAAGATTATCAGTGGCAAAAGGGGTTGCCCGAGGATTAACTTACCTTCATCTCAATGCCAAGCCCAACAACACCATGGCTCCCCATGGAAACTTGAAGTCCTCAAATGTCCTGCTAGATGAAAACGACACCGTTCTCGTCTCTGACTACGGACTTTCCTCCCTCGTAGCACAACCCATCGCAGCTCAACGCATGGTAGTTTACAAATCACCCGAATATGGGTACGCAAGAAAAGTATCAAAGCAATCTGACGTCTGGAGCTATGGAAGCCTTCTCACAGAACTTTTAACAGGCAGGTTATCTGTGTGTTCTGCCCCACCTGGGATTAACGGGTCGGATCTCTGTAGCTGGGTCCACAGAGCGGTGAGGGAAGAATGGACGGCGGAGATATTCGACAAGGAAATTTCTGTGCAGAGAAGTGCTCTTCCTGGGATGCTGAGATTGCTTCAGATCGCGATGCGTTGCACCGATAGGTTCCCTGAGAATCGGCCAGATATGAGAGAGGTGGTGAGAGAAGTGGAGAAGATTGAAGCTCCATTGATGTCGGAAGATGAAGAAGATGTATCTGGGGATAGGTCTATCACAGATGATTCTCTCTACTCAACCAGTACTGCCTCAGGGATTCTTGGAGATGACAGGTAGAAGCTCAAGCGTGGGACCGTAATCACACATTGTTTTTTTCCTTTTCAACATAAAGATGAGATTGTAAATGTTATCATGATTCAGAGTAAAATAAACATGTTGATGCATCAAGGCCCATATGAAATCCATTTTATTCTGAACAATTTGAAGCAGGAAAATATAGGTGTACGTACCTCCCATCCTTACATTTTTGTTTGTCTGTTTTCTGCAATGACAATTTGCAGCTTCTTCGAGCTTTATCTGTTGTAACTGTTCCTTGAAAGTTTTAGAACAATGGAAGTCACATACTTTGCTGTAGAATCCTTCACCAAAATAAGCCATGCTTTCGCAAGAGTTGGCACTTTCAACATGGAAAATCTAGAAAGAAAATTTCCACTGATACTGATTCCGTAATCTCAAGTTGGCTAAAAAAAAGATTCTGTAATCTCAAGAAGCCACTCCCACAAACTCACAAGCACACGTGGAGTAAAAATCAGTTCGGGTGATTTACATAAATCTATATATACGCATTTGTCACCTAATAGGATAATACTACTGCAAAGTCCCCCAATTTACTTTGACCCGGTCCAACAAGACAAACTCGGTCCAAATAAAATTTGATCTTTTAAGATAAAAAAAATCAAACTTTTTTTAGGTTGAACTAGACGGAAGACCAATCATTTGAACTGTTTGATCTTGTTCAGTGTTATAAATTTATTTAATATAATTATAATTAATTTATTAATTATTATTACAATGAGTTAATTTATAATAATAATTAATAATTTTTTGTGTTTTACACTTGTGAAGTCATGAGTATTGAGCAAAATTTTAGTATTAACCAACTTCAATCTTCTTCTTTTACTGGTAAAACTAGCTTTAACCACCCCATGCGATGCACAGGGAGAATAAACTTGTTATGCATAATTATAATCACATTATAATGTACTTGATATGTATGCGAATATATGAAAATGTCCATGTTAATTCGTTAAACATGTACTATGATTGAATAATACACTGCAATGCATTGAAAGGTCAGATCAACAATAATGACGATTACATAGAAAACAATAGCAACAAAAATACACGACACTAAATGAGAATAAGTTACACTAAGTTCTTAAATATTTCTCTCTACACAACATTCATGGTGGTTGTCTTCTCAACACCTGTACCATCATACAAAAGGATTCTCAAACCTTCAACACTTTTAACCTTTAATAATGCGATGTATAATTGACCATGCGTAAAGACAAGCTTAGTGAGATACAATCCAACATGTCTTAATGATCGTCCTTGGCTTTTATTGATAGTCATTGCAAAGGAAAGACTAATGGGGAATTATCTTTGTTGAATACAAAATGACCATCTACTTTTTGAAGGATTTATGTCTATTTGATAAATTAATACTTTCTAATTCTGCTTTGATCCATTCAATGTTATACTTTTAATAACACTTTGTCCAAGACGAGTGATGCGTAATCTTGTACCATTACATAAACCAGATGCTTGATTATATTTCTCAACAACATTATAGGTGCTCCTACGTTCAATGTAAGTTTATGAGGAGGCAAGCTAGAGCAAGTGATTGTGTTAAAGAATTCAGTAGTATAAAGATTATCAAAAGAATCACTATCCTCAATAGACTTACAAACTGAGTCTGAACTTAAATATTCAATTGATTCACCAAGTAGTAAAGAACACATGCAATCATTGACATAATCAATACTCTTAACAGTAGGAGCTAGTATTGCTCTATTATTGAAATATTTAGTGTTATACAAATTTTGCAACAGATCTGGATAAGTAGATGTTACAATTGCTTCCATTGGGTCCCTATAGTTAGATATCAATAAATGGTTAGGGATTTTTATCTCTGCTATTCCATCATGAGGTAGTCCTGATGTTCCATCACCCTCCTCTAATAAGCACTTTGAAAGCTTTTCTAATTCTTGGCTCTCATATATTGAAGAAGATAAAGATAGCATCATGTTCTTCATTAGTTTCAAAATTTTGCAATAATCCCATAAGGGTGAAGAACTAATGCATGCATTAACAATACTTGCTCTTGTCCCTTTTGATATAACTGAAAGTATTTGATGAAAATCACCACCCATGACAATACACTTCCCACTAAATGGATGATTTGAATGCATTATATCCTTAAGCATTCAATCAAAAGCTTCTATACAATAACACTGAACCATTGGAGCTTCATCTCATATTATGAGTTTAGTGCATTGGATTAAATTTGCCAATGAAGAATTTTGTTTAATACTACAAACAAAATCTTCAGTAATTTGGATAGGGATTGCAAACCTTGAATGTGATGTTCTTCCTGAAGGCAACAACATTGCAGCAATTTTACTTGACGCAATAGTCAAAACAATATCTCCATTCACACGAATTGATGATGATAATGCATTCCACAATAATGTTTTTTCAGTGCCTCCAAATCCATAAACAAAGAAGAAACCACATGTTAATAATGATAATGATGAGATGACACTATCATAGATTTGTTTTTGCTCCGCATTCATTGAATTGATTAGCTTTGTAGCTTCTAAATGTAAGGAAGAATGATCATAATTCAATTATTGTAATATAAGATGATTTGTGACATCAATGTTTGTTGTTCCTGTAGGTAATGGAAGTGAATCATAATCCTTAAGTGTCTTTCCATTTCTTTGAAGCAAGGAATTTATTTCATAGAGAGCAGCTTGTTCCTTGTCATTCCTTGACACATTTATCCCTGCAAAAGATCATGTAAAAAATTATTAATATATGGAAATATTTTCATTTGAATATTAACTTTTTTGGGTAACATTATTTGATTTGAAATTACCTGCTAAGTTAGGATTATTGCGTGGTATATATAATAAATCCTTGGAAAGAAATGTTAAAGTGTTATTCCAAACAAAATATGGATGGCTCAAACAGCAATACAGTAACATACTGACAAACATCTTTTAAAGCAAATTCCTTGATGCCTAAACAGATGCTCCTTTTATTGCATTTATAAAGTCCTTGTCATCATCCAATAATCCAAGAGCAAAACATGCATCTCTAAAATTTTTATCCATCCATATATTTTATGTCATCAAATGAGGAAGGACCTTTTACCTTCCTTAAAAGTATTCTAAGGAAATAAAGTTCTCTTCATAATGGTAATGCATGAGTGATCTTACCAATGGCAAAACCTTTTTTCCTACATTTCCATATTCTTTTATCTCTTTAGTAAACATAATGTTATGGAAACTAAGAACACGTCAAAGTTTTTGCATGATCTCTAGCTTTATTCATTTCCATCCAAGCAAGAAATTAGGATTCACAAACCCTCGGTTTGTCCAGCAAATCAACAACATCATCAGTATTACAATAAATAATTGACTGTTGATTCGGCAGATGGAAACTCAATCTTTCAATAGAAGGATACCTGTGATGTATGTCAAACCCAAACATACACCATGAACCCTCGCATGCAGATATATATCTATAATTATAATACTGTTGGATCTCATTATTGTTGTCATAAATTGTAGCAACCACCTTGTCATTCCCTTTGCTAATATACTTGAATAAATACTTAATTGAAGTGGATTGATTGCATTTCTCAACATTGATATGCGCTCCACACATGAATAATAGGATATGGTTGTAAGGCACAACATATCTATTATCTAAAGGAATACCTTTTATTTCAATAGTTCTTCCATCGTCTCTTCTTTTATATGTAGGACATCCATTTTCATCAAATACTGTCTTGTCATTGAATTTTTTTGTGAAATACTTACTACATTTCTTTTCCTTCATGTATGGAGAGTTTGGGTTGCTCTTATCACAAGAACCATGGCTCATAAATTTTTTGACAAGATCGTAAAGTGATGAGGAAGAATTTTTATCAGGGATTTCTATAGAAATTACCTTATCTAAATGATCAGAATCTTTTATTTTATCACACTAATCAAGAAGTAAAGGTATATAGGCATGTAGGAGTCCTCGCTTTTAAAACTCAGATGGTATATATATCTACATTGCAAAATTAATGTTATAACGCATTAGGCAATTAATATATTAAAATGATAAACAATGAAAATGGCTACTAAATAAATGGAGTAAACTATATATACAATGTTAATTATGAATTGTAATTTTTCACCTTCTAACTTACACGAATGGTTACAAAAATCTTCTTGTCATTGATGGTCTTCATCAATGATTATAACTTCAATTTGAACACCTTGCATAATATATTTGGTTGATTTGAAGGAGATAATGAATGAATTTTTCTTATAAAATCTAGTAATCTCAGGCCATATAAGATTACAAGTAAAAGTGATAAGAATATTTGGATATCCTGCCCAGCGACAAATTATCATTGCATCTTGATAATTTTGAATCATATATCTTGCCCCTTCTGTGAAAGACGAGGGCAAAATAATTCTTCTACCTGTAGAATTTGCATTTCTTTCTCCATTTGTGAGTGCGTTTGACAACCCTTGATACAACTTAACTCGTAGCTCTTTTTGATGAGTCTTTACCTAGAGTAACCTCTGTGATTTAATCACGATATATCCATCAACAATAAATTGCTACAATAATTTGCTTGTATGAAGCAATGTGGAGATCTCATGTTATAATTAAGGCTTTGCTCCTTCTAGTGGCAACAAACTTATTATTACAATGAGTTAATTTATAATAATAATTAGTAATTTTTTATATTTTACACTTATGAAGTCATGAGTATTGAGCAAAATTTTAGCATTGACCAACCTCAATCTTTTCTTTTATTGGTGAAATTTGTTGTTGATTTAGTGTAATTGACTTTAAACATGTTGAAGGTTGTTTAATTTGAATCATTTGTGTTATAATCAAAATACTTTTTCTTGTTATTAGAAATTGTTGTGGGTTTATAATTGTTATTGTTGTGAAAAATTTTAAAAGACTGTAAGTAATTTTATTATGTTGAAATAAATTGCTACATTTCATAGATGAAAAATGAAAAAAAAAACAAAGTGAAATATTAAATAAGACCAGGATAAGTCTTCTAATTCTACTAAACCAATTAGGTCTTGTTCAATTTTGAGTTATACAAGGACTACACTAGACCATGAGTTGTTCAATTCAATCCTTTTATATTAGGTTGAAGTCTTGTCGGGTGAGGCTTTTGTATTGCCTAATTACTATAATCAATCATGATTCCAGAATTTATTTTAATATTTTAAAAAAAGAATAATCATTTGTAATTGAGGCATGCATGAGTTGTAAAATCGAGTTACACTACAATTTTAACCTTTATTTACTGAGTTGGGAGAGACAAACACTTTGATCAGGCTCAATCATTGTTTATAGTTTGGGTGAAACATGGATTTGTATTGTCCATGTTATAGAATTTCATTCACATTTGAAAATATATGATTAACTCGAAATAAATGAAACTGTAAATAAAGTGGCGGTTTGACGAGAACATAGTTTAACCATTTCTTTCAATTATATTTGATTAATTATTGAACAGGGGATAAAATAGTAGATTTGTGATTTGTGATTTAGTATTCTCTCTACATCTTATGCTAACATGTTCCATAATTATTTAATTGAATTGGCAATCTCTGTAGTGTCATTAAAGACACTCACTACACCACTGAATGAAAAATTTTAAGACATTAATCAAATCGGTATTTCATTATATGTATTATGTATGGATAGCTTAAATGTTTTAACATTCTTGATAAAGCTAATCATTTATTAATTTTGATTCAATTGTAATTGCAATGAACTTTCACTTATAGTTTTAAGTCTTCATTTAGTTGTAAGCCTTTAAATTTTAATTATTATAATTTTAATTAATTAAATATTTATTTTTTTAAAAAATAAAATTAAAAGCATAGATTTAAGCCATTAAAATTTAGACCCTTTAATAAGATTGATATTCTCATAGGCTGGTTTTAAAAAAAAAAAAAAAATTCTCAGCTTTTGCATCGTCTTCCCCTTCGGCAGGTTCTTCTTTGCTGCACTCTTCTTCCTAGACTCAATGTTCGTTCTTTTTTCAACATTTTTCTGTTCGATTTCCTGCTTTCTGCCATGATTTCGAGTTGTTTGAGCCTTGATTCAGCGCATCGGTTTCGATTTCCTCTTTGAAAATCGTACAAGGAAATCTGAGGAGCATCGATTTCCTTTCTGCCATGACTTCGGCGTGTTTAACCCTTGAGTTGTTTAAGCGGCATCCCTTTCTACTTTCCGTTGGACTTCCCTCCTCTCTCATTGTTCATTGTTATCTCTCTTTCCTGACATTAATATCTGTGTTTCAGTCAACTCCGTTTAGGTTCTGACGCGGAATACAAACAAATGACTTTACTCACTTCTTCTTTTTGACCCATAAGAAAGCTTTAAGACGCATAATTTCGATCGTCGATTTCTTTAGCATTGAGCCCTGTATTTCTATATCTTGTTTCCTTTTAACCTCGGTCGTCAGCTGATATTTGGGATTTCGGGGATTCTATGTGCGCTGGAGCTTCAATCAGAGGAAGCACTCGTCGTTTTTTCTGCTCACTCAAGAGGTTCCTTTACGCTCTCACTCGCTCTCTATTGAACGTATTACTCTATTTGAATTACATTGGTTCTTTTCCCGTTGTGTTTGTTCCTTTGTTCAGTTGCTTATTTTGTGATTCTGACTTTTCTCTTCTCTGCTCGGTTGCTTGTAAAATAATTGGGAAGTAATGGTAAGGGAAGAAAACAGTTTTCCCCCCCTATTATTGGATTGCAGTTTTTTTCTTTTTTGGGTTTTTTGGGCTATAGAACTTTATGGCTGCTTAGAAGTCAGCTTCCAGATAAAAGTGTAACATTATATTTAAATGTTTTTCTATTTTATGAAATCTCGAGAATGGATATTCTGTGGTTTTGCTTGGAGTCTCTCCAAAACAAGAATATGCAATGATTGAAACAAACATAAATAGAACGTTCAAACTGTCAAGGAGTAAGACTGGTAAGAATGAATTGAATGTTTGAACTTCCAAGGGCTATGATTATCACAGCACAAAGAAAACATTTTGTTGTGAAGGAAAAGAGTTTGAGAAATTGTCCATTTGCAAAGTCATAGTTATTGATATAGGTGCTTACTTATTGCAGCGTTTCTGATTTGATTTGATTCTTTACCTCAAGTTGGGAGCTTTCCAAATAATTTCTTTTTTCTTTTTAGAAAATAACTATTGTGGAAGAAAATTCAGGATGTTGATTTGATAATAGTTTCCATATTACATCTTGGTTTATATTCTTATAAAGCAACTGGGATTATCCAAGATTACCTGAATAGATATTACTAAGTTGGATAGATAATTTTGAAATTTGAGAGGAAATGTTTGAAGATTTGAAGGTTTTTTAGCTTTTTCTCTTTATTTTTTCTGTGGAAACTTGGAAAAATAAATATTTTCCTTAGGATGCTTCTTAGAAGCACTTGTGAGTTGTAGCTGTGAATATTGGTGAGCACAGAAGAGAAACTCAACAAAATTTTTGAAAGCACAATTTTTTTCAAAGGCTATATACTATTACGTGTAGGCATTGCCTTTAGCCATTGATAACACCATGTATGCCTATGGTGTTCTTAGATTATATTGAATGATACGTTTTCATTTTGTTGGGCAGGAAAATGTTATACCTCCATAATTTTCATTGATTCTTTATATAGATATATATTAAAGAATCTCAACTCAATCAAGCTGTTAGTTTTAATAGTAAATTACACTAACTTGTCTTGAGATTTGCTTAATTTACGGACCTACTCTTGTTCAAGTGCCTCTTCATTTCTTGAGCTCTTGAATAAATTTATTTTCCTTCTCTACAGAGGTAGCTTATATGGGCTTCGCAGTCTAGATGAAAATGTCCCAACTGTCACGTCATCGCCTTGGGCACTCTTATGCTTCCAATCTTCTATGCGTGACATGTGTTTGCATCCAAGAAACTACAGTTTGGCAAGGCATCTTTTAAGATTGGCATCATTACCTTCTTCCTCGGGTTTCCTTTTCATTCAGAGATCAAGCATGTCAACCCAGGGTATTTTTAGGAACTGGCTGCTAGCTAGATACATCAGCAATGCCTCATTTGAGCTGAACACGGACAATGATGTTGTAAGGTTCTCTCTAGGCATGACGTCTGATAATAGTAATTCCACAATAAAGGGCAAGAAGAAGAAAAAGGTTAAAATGTCTAGAAAGGCAAAATTGAAGGAGCTCAGATTCTATCGCTTGAAGGCCAAAAAGAAGATGAATTCCCCAAATCCAGAAGTGAGGATAAGATATAAGCTTGAGAAGGTTAGATAATTTTACTGCAGATGTTAACATGCTTTTATGATGACTTCAGCAACTGCATATTTTCAAGACATTCTCCAGTTTTCAATGAAAATTTATGTGATGCTGTGCTTATCCCTACTTGACACTACTGCTGCTTAAAATGCCCAAAATAAATCAACTTATTGTTTTGTGGGGGGTTGAACATTACAAAATTTTTATTATGATTGGACATATATTTTATGTAAGAAAAGTCTTTTATGAAGTTCTTGTCTTTCACTGAGACAAGTATGCTTTGAACATGCAGTTTCTCAATTGCCTTGTTGATTAGTTCGATAATATGCAGGTTATTGTTTTTCAAAAGTGCCTCAGAATTCAGATAGGCTGGAATTCTGCATTTTTCATTTCCCCCTTATTTATTCTTTTTATCTATTGGTGTCTTTCTTTTAAACTTGGAAATCTGCAGGCCAAGCGAAAGGAAGCCTGGTTGATTGCGAAGCTGCGGAAATTTGAGGTACCAAAAACCCCAGCAGAAACATATGATCCAGAGATTTTAACAGAGGAAGAGATACATTATCTGAAGCGTACTGGTGAGAAAAAGAAAAACTATGTTCCAATTGGGAGGCGAGGAGTGTTTGGTGGGGTAGTTCTAAACATGCATCTTCATTGGAAGAGGCATGAGACGGTTAAGGTTGTCTGCAAGCCTTGCAAGCCAGGACAGGTTCACGAATATGCTGAAGAGCTTGCTCGGCTGAGCAAAGGCATTGTGATTGACATCAAGCCCAACAATACTATAATTTTCTACCGTGGAAAGAACTATGTACAACCCAAAGTAATGTCACCTCCAGATACACTGTCAAAAGAGAAGGTTATTTCAGCTCCTTGTCATTCATTGACCGACCTTAATTGTTAATATAGCCTGGTTTTGTTTATTAGACATTGTATCTTTTTCTGCTATTTAGAAGGTATAATTCTTTCCCCCTCTTTCCATGGACTATTTCATGTAGAAATGATCTACTTTCAGATAGGTTGTTATAAAAATTAAGTGTCTTGTATGCAAGCCATCTTTTCCTGGTGAGCTTACACTATGATTTAAGGAGTGATTTGTATTCGTTTTAGTTATCTAAATATAAATTGATATTCATTAGGAGTATTTTCATTACGCTTGATTTATTGAATGCTCATCATATTCTGGGCCTGGTGGTTTGATATAATAGATGGCAATTTGAAATAGTACAGAATTGACTCACATGCTTGCCCCGGCAAATATTCTCTTTTATGAGTATCTGATACTATTCTTTTGTCCTTTTTTCTTTTAAGTTCTGCATAACACTTAATTTCATTAACCTTAATTTCCAGGCCTTGGAGAAATATAGATATGAGCAGTCCCTTGAGCATACAAGCCAGTTTATTGAGAAGCTGGAGGAAGAGCTAGAAGAGTACCATCAGCACCTTGAACGATTTAGAAAAGGGAGAGGAACCTGATGAATAAAGATGCTGTGTGTGAGTATCATATTACATGATTAAACACTTGTATAATAAATGATTCTTGTTTTGATGGCAAAAAAAAAAAAAAAATCTTAATAAATATATTTGTCTTGTTTTTGACTTCCTGAAGATTCGGTTAAGATTTTTATATTATATGTTCAATTGGATGGCCTGAATCTTTTGAAAAACCTTCTAACAGTTTTTTTATTATTTTATTTTTTGTAATGTCAATCAGGAAGAACAGCAGTAAAGAAGAAAATGATGACAAGTGGAAACTGCCTAAACTAAGTGTTGAAACTACATTTTGTTCTACTGATTCTTTTGGTGGGCCATATCATTGAAAATTGTTTTTTTTTTTCCTTTGGGGATTGGGGCAGGGTAACACTGCTTTTCCAGACCTAAAGATCACATACATGAGATATGGACGAGATGTTTTTGTTCCCTTGAAGGAATGTAATTATGTAAGTCCAGCATTTTTATTCTTTCAAGTGATTCTTTGCCAGTATCATAGTTTACTTTAGATCAGCACTTATGGTTACCAAGCTGCACATATATTTGGTTTGAACACTTGAGATACTAGGTGAGAAAAGAGTTATTTGGTATGACCCATTTGCAAGGCATGGGACTTGAATCTTGCATTGGAAGTATGAGACTGTAATGCTAAGACTTGTTTGAATCTCTGGCTCTCCAAAGATTCATATCATAATTTCTTCCTTGTATCCCGGGTAATCCTGTTGAGACTTTTAACATAGCTTCCTTATGTATGTCCTCTGTGAATTGCGTAGTCTGCTATCTGGCTTGAACTCTTTAGCAGAGGACTGAGTTCCGGCTCCACCATATGACGCCCTGCGTCAAAGGTTTCATCGGTTTTTTTGGGTTCTCTCTACAAACATGACTTATGATCAACCATTAAATTTGCCACATTGGCGCTTAATACTTTCTCACCCAAACTACGCACTACGCAGGAAGTTCAAGATGTCCTTGTGAGTTGTGACTATATAAATTTATTTGCTTGCATTTAGTTATTGAGGGAGGAAATGCTACTAGACCAATTGTGGACTTTGGGATCAAAAAATTTGTTTTCGGTCAATATTGGAACCAGGGATGTTTTTATGACTTTATCTATCATCTTTAGGAAAAACTTTAGTTTTGTCCCAAGGCTTTCAGATCAATATATATATATATATATATATGCATACTCTTTCCGTTCAAGATATATATATATATATGCATACTTTTCCGTTCAAGAATGTAAGGTATTTTTTGAGGTGTTGGATGTTAAAAAATATAAGATATTTTTAATTTTTTGAGGTGTAATTATTGTTTTTTTTTAAGTGTCCATATTGATAATAATTTTATATTTATTGTAGGATGTTTAATAGGAGTAAATATAAAAAGATAGGATTATTTAAAAAGTAAGTAATTATTTTATTAGGGAATGAGATTTGATTATAAATGTTTTATATTTTTAAACGAAGGAGCATATATTTTAATTACAAGGGAAAACAAGAGCCTACATATTGAAAAGGGAAGTGAAGATACTTAGCTCACATCTATACGTCTGTATCTAAGATTATTATCTGTGGTAGCTAAACGCTCTAGGGGTGGTTTTATGATGGGAGAATTTTGGAAAGAGTGCATAGGATGCCAGCCAGTTCGTGTAGATCAAGAAATTTGTTAATGATTTCATGTCCATACTTGGAAATGATATTTTCCTCAGTCAATATGTCACCCAACAAAAAAGTGAAGGTATTGGTTAGAGTAACTTAACAATTCCTCACTAATGATGGCCATAGGTAGGTGGAAGGGACTTGGTTCCATCAAATATCAAATAAGGTCGTGAAACCAAACCTTATAAATAAAATTTTTTTTAATCACTCATATTTATTTTATTTATCATTTTAGTTCCTCAAATTTAATTTGAATTTATTTGGTCTTTTTAAGTTTGTTTTAATTATCAATTTGATTCTTATTATTTAAATATGAGGCAATACTGATAGTAAAATTCGTTTACATAGATAATAGAATATTAATGAAAGTCAAGTAGATTAATGAAAGAAGTGTAATTATTTAACTAAAAAACAAACTAAAAAATTTAAAAAGATAAAAGAACAATGCTCAACATAAGGAATTAAATTAAGGATCAAAATAATAAAAGTTAAACTGATTCGAAGGTTAATTTATTTTAATTGAACTATATATACATAGCAACGCATCAAAATACTTCATATTAATTAATTTAAAAGTGAATTTTTTTTACATTTAAAGGATTAACATGATGGTTTTAGAAAATATAAAGCATTAAATTGATAAAAATTGAACTTAAAAGATTAAATCAATAATTGCAAAAATTTGAGGAATTAAAAGTTTTACTATCCCTAAGAAATCATAATTATTTCTAATTAACCTGACAATACCAATTTGACAGTAAAAGATATCAGATAAATACAATCAGACATTGGATGTCACATGGAGATTGATTAATAAATAGAGGCACAGTCTATCATGGGGTTGTTATAGAAAAGCTTAATGGATCCCAACAAAACAAAGTCATTAATAAATAAATAAACAAGAGAGAGTCACATCCTAAGACTTTTCAAAAAACTTATTGGCAAATAAAAACCAATAAAAAGTTTTCATTGAAAAAAAAAATAAGTCGCTATTATTATTTTAACTACATTTCTAAAGTATTTTTAACAGAAAGCTTTATCTTTAGAAGACCATAATTTAAATTTCTGTAACTCAAAAAAAAAAAAGTACAAGACTCAATGTTGTGTGCACATTATTCCTGGTTTTTACCTGACACATTAAAGGAATGTTTTTGCTTAAAAATTGTGCATTTTCCGTTTTTATTTGTGTTAAATTCTGATATATAAACTAAAAGGATTAGTCCCTTGCAATATGGTGAACTAATGTTTGAACTCCTATGAAGAAAAATGCTTATATTTAATCTGACTGTACATTAAATATAATTGCTTTTAATAGAATGATTCTTATGAGCAATATAAAAAAATCATATATATGTATGTATGTATGCATGCAATTACTAATATTTTTAAGTTTTGGTTGCTTGCTTGCTGTCTTACCTCAACTATATTTGGCTAAGTATTAGGATGTTATGAGTAGAATTATTAGGGAAAGGATGGCTGAAGAAGTTTAAACAATACAAGAGCCAAGAGGACTCTCTGTCAGATCTCTATGGAAAAATGTTGGCAAAAGACAAATCATGTTGGTCCTCAACTTATTGGCTTAGTCTGTCTCCGACTAGTTCTTCATTGGCTTGTTCATGGGGAGTTTGCCTCATCTTTATCATCTGCCTCTCTTATTAAGAGACTGCATGCTCGATAGTCTTCTTCATCATCAGTAGATTAATTTTCTACTGCAATTTTGCTTCTTTTTCCATTTGCTGCTGATCCTCATTACTGGTTTCTTTGATAACAGGCTTATGTTATTGTAGGACTCTTTTTATTTGTTGTAATATTAATCTTTTTATCACAAAAAATTGCGTCTATTCATCACTCAATAACTTGCGGCCAATATAGAGCAAATCAATTGCCATCCTATACATTTATAGTCATACATAATCTTCTAAAATTATTTTAAGAATGTACACTATTCTTACCATATGTCTTTTGTTAAATGTATTTAAGTTAATGTTTTAAAAGTCAGACTAAATATTAAATAAAAAAAGTCAACGGTTCTTGATTTTTATGATGTAATTGATTAGATCAGTGATTGGACTGGTGATATAATAATTAAATAAAATAAATATAAAAAAAATCTATAGTATGTTAATAAAATGGCAAAACATGACCATAAAGTAATAATATAATAATTTATAATTTTATAACTTATTAAATATAGGTAAATTTTGGTCAAATTAGATATAAACACACTTAAAAATATCTGTATTTATATATATAACTGTCAACATCTTTATAAAAAAATAATCTCAAATCATATTTTTTACATATAAATTACTCAAAAATAAAGTTGACTTTAAGTAGGATTTAATTTTTAAATTTTTCTATTTTTTTAAACTTTTAAGCTTTTTTTTAATATTATGTTTAAAATTGTTTGGTTTTTGAAAACTACTCAATTCCTGATTTAACTCTGATTTTCAGCTTAATAGCAATTCAATTTCAGTCCAATCTAGCTAAATCATAAAAGTGGTTTTTTTGTTTAAATCAAGCCGTTAACTGTTTTGGTCGATGGTTCGACCAGTTCAACCTTCTAGTTCGGTCTAGTTTTTAAATAATTAATTTGAATGAATCAATCAACAATATCAATTGTTATTGCACTATGAAAAAGCATCAAATGGATCGAATCTTGTGCTGAATTGTTTATTTCAAAATTCATTCAGCCAAATAAGATATGAAAAAAATGGAGCTAGAAATATACCAAAGAAAAAAGTCACCAACTACCTTGATTTTCTTAACATTCAAAGCTTATCTTTAATTGCATTAAAGAGGATACATTGTCTCCAGAGGTTGAATAAATGAGCCATTCATTTTTGCTTGAGCATTTTGGGATTTGTCATCAAAATTTTGCACATCAGTCAAATCTGTCACTGGCATTTCGGGGGACAACAATCTTGTTTTTTTTTTTTTTTTAAGGTTACAAAGACAAGCTTGAGCTAGAAACAAGGAACACAAAAAAACTAGTTAAAATAACCCTTATCAGACATAAGCAAGTTTAAACACCCCAGGGAGACAACAATCTTTGAATGCGCTTTAGCTTCCTCTTCTTGTTCTTATCAGTTGATTGCATTACAAATATACCAATCGGTGTAAGATTTAACTGCAATGGAGCATGTGTATGAGAGCAAGTCATGAAGACAATCTTTAATTGCAAGATTATGAAATTTTCAATTTTTCTTCCCATCATCAATTCACAAGAGGCATAAACTTGTTACAAGTTTTCTTCTTCCAAACAGCACGGCAATAACCTTTAAGATTAAATGTCTCAATAGAAACAAAAGTCAAGGATAGAAGTTTATATTGGACTACAATAATTTATTCTTTTTTTAAAATTTAAAAGAAAAATAAATTCTATTACAAAGAGAAGACAAAACAAGGTTTGAGGTAAAAGGATAAATAATCTTGAAATTGGTACTTAAGCAATTAGCAAGAACTACAAATTTTGCAGTAAAACAGATAATTTGGTTACAAAGAATAGAAAACAGATAGACTACCCTTAGTGATGGAGAAGGCCCATATGGAGGTCCTTAACCCAATTCCCATCGAATAAGAAGTACTGAGCATTTTATCTGTAAAGTTTTGTTTTTTTATCTTTGAAGTCAATCCTTCAGATGCAGGAAACGAGTCCCCTGCAGTGATCTGTACAATATCAGTCATTTTTCTTATCACCATTGAGATTAATTTTTATATACTACTGGTTTTTAGGTGCATGTTTTCAATCTATGCTAATAATGAATGCCAGATTAAACGAGCTTGAAGAAAAATTAAGAGAAGTGGATCCATGAAGAGCATTCACAGAGTGATATACTGTTTCATCATTCCCTTCATCAGAAATAATTCTGTAGCTTCACAGAGAGAGATTACAATGTTGTCATTCATGGAGTGGAAGTAGGATCAATAATGCGTGAACTCAATACTTTATTCAAGATTTTTTAACTTGAGAAAAGTTTAATTAACATGAAGATAAGCATGAAGTCAATTTCCAGAGTAGTGATGAAATTGAAAACCATCCGCATTATTGGGAATGGTTTTGTCGTATGCGGAGAAGAGCCAAGACGTGTCTCGTGCTTTCTTTTCTTTCTTGTTATGGCCCTCCCTCCCTCTCTCACTTAGCGGGTCCTCAAGACACAGACATAATTATGTCTTTTAGACTCTACACTGTTTAAATTATCGGCTTGTCTCAGTTTAATTTTTAAACCTATTAATTGGAACAGAGACAACACAAAGTACATGAGTGCCTACATAAAACAGCTTCAGGGTTCTTCTCTTCCTTCCTCTTTGATGCATTTTCCGCTTAACATTTTGTGCATTATCTAAATGCAATTTTGTTAAAAAAAAAATTTACTATATTGTTTTGCAAACTTTTTTTTTTTTCTAATCACACTTTTTGCGTGGCGCAGATGAAATTAAAAGGAAAATGTGGTTATTAAATTGTTCGTCATTAATGGCAAATTGTTTCAATCATGTATGTAGTCCACAAACTTATAATAATAGCCTTGATCAGTAAATTCGAGTTGTGAAAATTGACGAGCAAAAGTTAAAGAGCGAATTTTTCAGTCACCATAAGTTCAGATAAATCTTCTTAATTAAAAATTAATTAGTTCACATATAATGGATGAGATCGCAAAGGAATACAAATAAGAAAGTGAAATAGATGACGTGTAGATCTGACACAACATCAATCCTAGCAAAATATCAGTTTCAACTCTGAGCCATTTTGCATCCCCACAATTATGTATAGTCTTGATTTATATAGCTATGTTGCATAATTTGGAAGATGATTAATGGAGTCCTTGTTGATGTAGTTGATTTTATTGGTTTAATAGTTGATTTTAACTGTGCTATGAATTATCATATTGAGCTGTAAAAACAGCCAAACAAATAAAAACAACATTAATGGTATAGCTTTCACACTTTTACTTAAAAACCATCAATCAATTGGAAAAAGATAAGGTGTTAACAGAGGAAGTGGACCAAGAGTCCAATCTAATTATATTCCAAGCTCTTCGATCGCATTGAGAAAGGTTGGATTGGATCGATGATGATATAAATATAAATATAAAGTGAATTTCTTGAGTGGATAATCAAAGACGACCACATTATTGGTAATGGCTTTGTCGCATGCATGCGGAAAAGAAGGGAAGAGAAAGAAGAAAGAGCCAAGAAATGTCTTGTTCTTTTCATGGCCTTCTCTCTCCCTCCCTCCCCTCTCTCTCTTTCTGTGTCCTCTTTAGCTGAAGTGTCCTATCTCCCACTTGCCACAGCTTCATTTTTCTTTTGTTTTTGTTTTTCTCATCACACCAATCCTTTCTCTTTATTGATCTGTCACTTGAGTTGAGCTACAATCAGGAAACTCAGATTTTCTTTACATGCCAATCAAGAGAAACTGAGAAAGTATCTGGCCAGGAACAAAAAAAAAAAAAAAAAAGGAAGCTCGATCCTCTTTCTCTCTTCCTTTCCACATGTATGATTTTGCACCTGAAGAAAATACTCTCCAAAGTCCAAGCCATTCTTGGAGCTAAAATTTCTGAGAGTATAATTAATTAGATTAGCAAATGAGCGCACAATCAGATCTAGTAACATATGAATATATCTATAAAATTAACATGGTAGTTATAGTGTTACTGGTATGGGCCCAACTTGTATATTTAAGTAAAATGATTTTTTTTTGTCATTTTGATTTGAAAACAATCCAATCTTTTTAATTTCTTGATTTAATACAATTCAATTCTTATAATTCATTAACTCAATAAATTAATTTGAAGAATTGGGTTGGAAGTTTAAGATGAAATTGAATCCGTGGATGCAATATGTTAAATGTTAAGGTATTATTATTGCTAGTGATGGGTGATATTCACGACGAGGGAAAATGTTTCAGACAAGTAACAATGCAAGTACTGAGCATTGTATATGTAAAGCTTTGGTCTTTTGTCTTTGAAGTCAATCCTTCATTTGCAGGTTTTTGAAACAAGTCCCCCGCACTGCTCTGCAATATCAGTCCTTTTTCTTATCACCATTGAGATTAATTTTTATATACTTCTGGTTTTTAGGTGCATGTTTCCAAATCTATGCTTGTAATGAATGACAAATTAAACAAGCTTGAAGAAAAATTCAGAGAAGTGGATGGATCGATGAAGAACATTTCTCAGAGATGCTGTTTCATCTTTTTCTTCATCAGAAATTCTGTAGGTTCACAGAGAGAGAGAGAGAGAGAGAGAGAGAACAATCACGGCGTTCATGGAAGTAGGATCCATAATGCGGGAACTCAATACATTATTTAAGATTTTTTTACTTTACATGATTGATGAACTTGAGAAAGGTTGACTTAACATAAAGACAAGCATGAAGTCAATTTCCTGAGCAGTGATGGAATTGAAAACCATCTGTAATTACTGTTAATGCTGCGGAAAAAGAGCCAAGAAATGTGTCTCGTGCTTTCTCTTCTTTCTTTTCATGGCCCTCTCTCTCTCTCTCTCTCTCTCTCTTGACGGTCCTCAAGACACACACATAATTAATGTCTCTCGGTACAAGACTCAGACTCATTTTTCTACTTTCTATTCATCACACCGTTGAGGTCATTAATTATTCATGATAAATATTTTGAGCCAGTACCCTCTCGCTATTCACCACAGCTTCTTCTTTCTCTCTCAGCAATTTCCGTGTTCCATCTGGATAATTGCTTCGGCTTTGCTTCCCCGTCACAATAGTTTCTGATCTGTTGACCTTCTTCTACTTATTGTTCTTTAACTTCAGACTCTTTCTTGGCTTCTTCAACGCACTGTTAGATCTAGCTTGCTTGCTTCTCTGGATATCCTTCCTTCTGCGTTTTTCTTTGTCTATTAACAATCTGTACGTTGTTCTTCATCTTTAATGAGTTTGTGCTCTTAAACCATCATTCCTGCTTGTATATGATCTCTAGAGTCCCATTAATCATTGTTGTTGTTGTTGTTTCAAGGAAAAAGCAGACAATCTCTGTTCTCTGCTTGCATATCATCTTTAATTTATCAATTGTTGATATTCTATGTCTTCATTTAGCGTTGAGAGTTAAAAAAAGCAAAAAAAAAAAGGGGGGGGGGAGAGCCGAGAAGGAGAAGAAGGAGAAGGAGAAGGGAGCAATTCCCAATAAAAGCAAAGCGGCGGGAAAGGTGTTGAAACTCGAAATCACAGGATAAGAGATTAAGAGGTAAGTATATCCCAGTGTTGTGCAACTCTGCTACATATGTATATATATGTGTATTCTTATTATGCTCTACGTTATTATTCTTCAGAACAAGTCTCACTATCTGTGCACATAATAGTTGAACAGTTGATTAGAAGACAGGGTTTCAAGAACAAGGCCACTTCAACTAAATCCTCCACACTTCTCCTTGTCTTTGACAAACCTTGTCAGGTAAAGAATCCATTCTCTTAGCCATTTCAGGACACATCTTCGGTCCACTAATCTTTCCCTCTACTTCCCCTCCTCTATCTTGAAATGAAATAAGAGGAAAACTTACACTTAAATCACACTGAAGAGAATTTATTGCTAAAAGGTCATGTAAATTTTAATAAATATTTTTAAATTTCAAATCCTACACATTAATGACTTGGCAAAGGAAGCAAGTTGTAAATATTTATTGTTCAATTGTGAATACCCTTTATTAATATACAGGATTTAAGATTTGGGAATATTTTATAAATTTTATAAAATTTTTTAATAATAAATTCTCTTTTATGGAACTTATATGTAATTTTTGATGAAGTAACGGTCCAAATTTAAGGTTTTTTTAATTACTCTTTATTAAAATTAAATTTTTTACTAAACCTCCTTTATCATCATATAGATAGTTTACATTTAATTTAATGATATAATTTAATATTAAAATTTTTATAATTTTTTATAAATTAATTATTCAGATGGACTTTGATAGATTTAATGTTAAATTTTTTTTTAATTTTTTACTTTGGTAAATACAATATTATAAATTCTTGACTAGCACTTTCCAAAAAATATTTTCATAAAAAAATTACAAGTTAAAAAAAGTAAAATATCACATTTAAATGTAAAATGATAAGATCCGGTAGAACAATCTGGATCATATTTAATTTCCTGATTCAAAAAAAAAAAAAAAAACAAGAAGAAGTGCACATATAAGTTATAACACTCCACTTTGAATATTTGGATACATATAATATAAATTAAGAAGAATTTCATTTAAGGAGCACGGATGGATGTGACATTATTAAAAAAATATGGCCTAAATAAATATAAAATTTCATTACAAAAATTTAAACCTGAACTGAAATTAAAATATTAGGCAAAATAACTGAAATAACTTTTTTAACATGCAAGGTAAATATTATAACAAGTAATTACAGGGAGTTAGCAAGTAACATTACATGTTAACAAGTATGATAATTGAGTTAACAAGTTAAATTAGCATGTATAAAAGTAAATATTTTAACAACTAAATACAGAGAAGTGACATGAAAAATTAAGAAGGTTATTTCAGTCATTTTGTCTTAAATTTTAATTTCAGTCCAAACCCAAGTTCTTACAATGAATTTTCAAATTTTTGGGTGACATTTATGATAATGTCACATCCGTAATCTTTTAATGAAATTCTTCCTACAAAATAAAGCTGCTTGTGTTGAACAGTTTTTGTACTTTTCCCCCCCTTATGCTTCGACTTCGATTCTTCGCTAAATTATTCTCAATATTATGGCCATTGTGTAATTATTATTGTTGTGATCCTTCTTCAGGTAAGGAGGGGAAAAAAAAAAAATCAAGGGAGCTCCTGGCCGGTGTGAAAATCTTTGGAAAAGATCAGGTTAGTATCTGAAATTTTGCAGCATGAGTGCGTCACAATTTTTTTTAATAATCCATCTACGAAGTTTCTGTGTCGACATCGGATTTTTTTTTTTGGAATATTAACTGAAAATTGCAATAAATAATTAAAACACACCACAAATAGGGTTACAAAATTCGTAAGCACAAATTGCAAACCTTCTTTTACCATCCACCCACTTCAAACGATTAGGCGGGCATCAATCGATTAAGCCAATCCGTGAGCACATACATTTGTTTGCTTTCCTTTACACACAATAAAATGAGATATCTTCCAATCCCTTAGAAAAAATAGACGGGCAATTTCAACAGGGACAGAACCAGAAATTTTTTTAAAGGAGACCCAGATAATAAAACATATATAATAATTAAAAAAAATAAATTTATATATATCACTGAATAACACAAATATTTTAACATATATTTTTATATTCAATTTTATAAATATATAAAATATATATATATATATATTAAGCTTTACTTATCGATATAAAAATTATTAATTATCATATATATGATTAACTTTTTAGCAAAATTTCCCTCTCAATAAAATTATCATTAAATTGATAAAAAAATACATCTTTTCTATGAGCATTGAGTGGTTTAAATGTATAATTGGGATTTAAAGTTCTTTTCAATCTAAAAGCTCTATTATTTACTTGTTAAATTACTATTTAATTATGTCAATTGATAATTGTTGTAAACAAATATGTCAACACAATAATGATGTTTAATTGCCACAAAATATTTATGTCAGTTATATCTCTTTGTTGTAATGCTTGATAAAGTTTGTTAGTAATAATTATTATAGTTTCTTTCATCAATAAAAAATAAAAGTAATCAAACGACATCAATCTTTTAAGAGCATGTATGTAACAGTCTAAAATTTCATACTGATTTTTCACAGAGTGTATGATTTATTTAATCTAACTAAAGTTATTAAATACTTACAATGGTAGAAAAAGGACTATCATGATAACAAAGAGTGAAACTTACATTTCTAAAATACTACCATGGTAAATAAAGGATTACCATAGTAGAAAAGACTTAAGATATTATTTTAAAACCATATATTAAATTATTATAATAGACAAGGGTTAAATTTTAAAAGTAATAAATTTTCAGTTCCTGAGACAACTCTTTTTAAAAAGTATTTGAGCTCAAATGATAGTTAAAAAGATAATTAAAGGAGGTATGGAAGCATGGCAAAATAAAAAAATCACCATCATATATCAAATGAGAGCAATTCTGCCATGGCGTATATGTCATCAATTGTAGTTATAACTTGCACTGCAATATGCCAACTATCACAACACTGAGACAACTTCCAAACCAACTCCAAATCATTATAAAATCATTAAACCTAAGTTTAGAAGCTTAAATTAGCTCCCTATAGACCTAAAGAACATAATTGGTTAAAACCTAAGGAGAGATGAAAACAATGCCTAACTCAACCCAAACTCACTATAAATTGACATTGAGGGGAGGCATAATGGAAAGGAAGCTTACCCAATGTGTACTCTTAGCATAGAATGCCTCCAAATAGGTCTAAAAGTAAAGCCCTAGCAGAGACTAAATGAGCTAGCTCTGATTTTCCTTCTTTCCTCTCCATCTATTTTGTCTCTTACATGCTCGATATAACAAAATTTAAGCCCATTAGGTTTAAGGGAATTTTGGGCCTTACGCTTGAGCTTAGTTGACCTAAACTCCATTCTAGTCCATTTTTGAGGTTGTTCAAAGGTCCAATAAGCTCATTGGTGGTCTGGAAACACTATTAATATAATAATTACCTAAATTTTACCATTTTGTCCTTGTTAACATTTCAAATTTGAATTTTAAAATTTGATGATTTACAATTTTTCCTTTCTTTTAGGAATTTTATCCTCAAAATTTGAAATCAAGTACGAACGCATACTTATGAGAACAAGTGCGAATACAATTGTTACATCTTGTTCTTAATCTGCCACGTGACATCACCAAGAGTCATGCACTTTCAAAAGACTTTTACTAAACAAATGCTTTTATTTCTCAATTGTCAATCTTTCATATCTATAGTTAGTTCTAGTTCAGCTCTATAAGTCAAATTTTCTTGAAGTTCCACATCTTCTGGCTCAATGATATGAGAGGGATCTAGATAATACTTTTTGAGGTGACGCACATGAAAGACATAGTGAATTTTGGATAAATGAGGTAGTAATGCAACCCGATAGGCAACGGGTCCTAACTTTTCTAAAATCTCAAACGGACCAATAAATTTAGGAGTCAATTTCTTAGCCTTAATTAATATCTCTATTTCAGTCAGATAACTTTCAAAAACCCATGGTCACCCACCAAGAATTCCAATAGCCTCCTATACCTATCTGTGCAGCTGTTCTGTCGACTTTGAGCTATCAATAACTTTTTCCTAATCATTTCAATTTTTTGAGTGGTTTGATCTACTAAGTATGGCCCCAACAAGCTTCTTTTGCTCAGTTTTGTCCAACACAGAGGTGATTGACATTTCCTCTTGTACAAGTCCTCATAAGGAGCCATTTCAATGTTAGAGTGGTAGCTATTATTGTAAGCAAATTTAGCCAATGATAGATAAGTGTCCCAACCACTTCTTAACTCTAAAGCACAGGCTCTCAACATATTGTCCTCTGATATTTGGATAGTTTTCTCAGTCTACTTATTTGTTTATGGGTGATAGGTAGTGCAAAATCTCAGCTTAGTTCCCATTGCTTTCTACTCTAAAAGTTTGATGTGAACCTTGAATCATGATCCTAGACAATATCTTTTAACACCCCTATGAAGTCTCATAATTTCATTCACATAAGCCTTAGCATACTATTTGAGAGAGTAAGTCGCTTTCATTGCTAAAAAGTGTGTGAACTTTGTTAGTCGATCCATATATTACCATATAGCATCATAACTTGACTAAGTTATAGGTAGACTAGTGATGAAATCTATCAAGATGTTGTTCTACTTCCACTTAAGTATCTCTAACAGATGTAACATACCTCCTGGCTTCTAGTACTCAATCTTGATCTTTTGGTAGGTCAGGCATTGAGCTATATACTTTGTCACATCCTTTTTCAGTCTAGCCATCACCTCATCTATTTCATATCTTGATACATCTTGGTGGCTTTAGGGTGGATTGTATACTAGCTACAATGCGCCTAATCTATAATTGTCTTCCTCATCTCTTCCTACTTTAGTATATAGATTTGATCTTGATATATCATCATAACCATCATCTTTAAACTTGAATTCTATTGTTCGTCTCTCTTCTATGTCCTCTTAACTCTTAAGGAGAAAATCATCCTCCAATTGAGCTGTTTGTAGTTCTCTCTAAAACTTATTTATCACCACCATAAAATGCACATTACACAACATCAGTAGTGCTTTTCTCTAGGTATTTAAGAATGTTTTAAGTAAACAATGCTCTTGAATCATCATATGTGCAACATGAATTGTATTCTGGCTTAAAGCATCAGCCACCATGTTTGCTTTGCCTAGATGATGTTTTATCTTAATGTTGTAGTACTTGAGAAACTCCATTGATCTATGTTGCCTCATATTTAGCTCATTGCAATCCACCAAGTATTTTAAACTCTTGTAGTTGCTAAATACTTCAAACACAACATCATACAAGTAATGTCATATCTTCTAGGCAAAAACTGCCGTTACCAACTCTAAGTCATGAGTAAGATATTTCTCCACGTGCGGTTGCAACTATCTTAAAGCATAAGTTACAATCTATTCATCTTGCATTGAAACACATCCTAAGCCCTTCAATGAGGCATCCATGTAGACAACATATGGTGGACACAGATTAGGAATAACCACCACTGGTGCTATAGTCAACCTCTTCTTCAACTCCTAAAATACTGCTACACACTTGTTGGTCCACACATGCATTTGATCCTTCTAAGTCAATTTAGTTAGTGGGGATGCAATTTAAGAAAATCCTTATATGAAGCATCAATAATATCCAGTTAATTCTAAAAAACTCTTGATTTTCATTACTGAGATAGGCGATTCTTACTTTAAAATGACATCTACTTTGTGTGGATCTACTGCTGTTCCATCAACTGACATAACGTGTCTAAGTAATCTTACTTCCCTCAACCTGAACTTATATTTGTTGAGTTTGGCATACAACTTGTTTGATACACCCTAAATTTTTGAAGTGTGATTGATTAGAATATAAGAAAAATCATATTTCATAAACCTAAACCCTTAACATGTCTAACATATTAATTCCAATTTTTGTCATACAATTATCATTTATATTAAGCAATTATTAATAGGAACAAAATACTTAAACTAGCTGTAGAAATTTCGGCAAAGTCTTTGTTGTAAGTTAGACTTCGCAAAATCTCTACAACTTGCCAAAAGGCACATCCAAGATGCATTCAGAGTTCTACTCCAATACAATATATACGAACCAAAATAATTTAACTAAGGATCCTAACTATATAATTCGTGGAGTGATTCTAGAAAAAAAACAGAATGTTTAAATATTTACATTAATCCATAATATAATTGAAACAACACAATACTTCTTATCTCAAGGGGTCCCACAAGATCTACTGAAGAGCAAGTGCACTTTTATTATCTAAATATCAAAATTCTTTCAGTAAATAACATCCCTAAATAATAAATAAATAAATAACGATAATCATAAACACAAAACAGGAAATAAATGACTAATCTAATAATTGATGGTATTATAAACTAACAGTAGAATTTATCTTTGATAATCAAGTAATAAAATATAAAAGAGAAAATTGATAATCATAACCAACAAATTAAAAATATATCTTTTGTATAAAACAAATCATAAAAATACAGTTCTTGAGAGCGAAAAACAACTTAGAAAAACTTGTTTTCTGTTAGGACCTAAACAGAATGAATAACAAGTATAGACAAACAGTCCACAAGAGTAAATAACATCTGGCGTGGCTAAAGGCAATGAAAACTAGTGCAAGCATAAAGTTC